TTCGTTTGCCGGCAGTGAGATCGTAGGAAAGTCACTTTCCCTCTCTGGGTTTCAATTTACTCATCCCTAAAAGAAGAGAGTTCTCTTCTCTTTACAGTTTCCTGTATGAGCAGCTTTTGGAGCTGTGTTTCATAGAGCCCAAGGAATTTTGCAGAGAAGAAAGAGAAATGGAGAAGGCCAGAGCCCGGACAGTCCTCCACTCCCACATGAGCACGAGACGATTCTGAAGCAGACTGTCCAAGTTCAAATAGCAGCCCTACTAATTACCGGCTGTGTGATCTTAGGCAAGTTACTTTCCTTTTCTGTGCCTCAGTTTCCTCACCTGTAAATAGGGATGACAATAATATTTCTTTATAGGGTATAACGAGGATTAAATAAATCAATATATAAAACTTGGTACATGAAAAATGCTATATAAATTCTAACTTTTATTTATTTATTTTTGAGAGAGAGAGAGAGCACAAGCAGAGGAGGGACAGAGGGAGACAGGGGCGGGGAGAGAGGGAGGGGGAGAATCCCAAGCAGGCTGTGCACTGTCAGTGCAGAACCTGATGCGGGGCTTGAACTCATGAACCGTGAGGTCATGACCAGAGCCGGAATCGAGAGTCAGACACTTAACCGACTGAGCCACCCAGGGGCACCAAAAAATGCTATATAAATTTTAGATATTATTGTCTGTTTCATATAATGGAGTTCCCCATAATGTTTAGGTTTAAAGGGTTTAAAGGTCTTCTGCCAACAAAACAAAAACTACTTAAAAGTTTTAAAGCACTCAGGGTATTTAATTAGGATGCAACAGGGAATACTAATTACCAAGGCTCCAGTAGACTGATACCAATGTCTCGGCCACTGCCACTGCCCCACCATTGTCAGTAACACCACGCCGCCCCGCTGCCAGACTCCGTCCGGTGTGTTTAACTCAGCACAATGAGCCGCCGCTACTCACGTGAGCTTGCTTTTTCTTCTGAAGATTATTCTGTGGTTCCATTCAAATGGCCTCTGCGTGGCTGGGCGACTGATCCCGGGTGCTAGACAGAGAAGGGCTCCGTGGCTAATCGCCTGCATTCCTGCAAAGACTGAGGAAAAGATAAATTTCCTTAACAGGCAACATTGCAGGGAAGGCATTTTCTTAACAGAAAATGGTGAATATCTGAAAAGATAGAAACCTCAGGCAGTTTAAAATTTGCAAGGAAGAAGTGCCTGGCAGTTCAACTGCTTTAAAATTCCTTTACCAAAGATACCATATGAATCTAAATAAAACCTGAATGATTATGGTAATTATCCACACTAATAACCTTGCTCAGAAACTTCTTTATCTGGGGTTTCACTTCCTGAACGTTGTAAGGACTGCCAGGCATCTCCTTCTTTCCCTTACCTGGGGAAGAAGGTTTAAGTTAATTGACATCATTCTCCAGAACTGAGATTATGGTACAATCAATTTTTGGACTCACCCAATCCCGTCACACCCTGACCTGGGCATTGATCTCATCCTTCAGCAAACCCCACTTTCCTAGTTTGCTCCTCAAAATGTTCAGCTCTCATCTCCTTTGATATTTGGCCTGCATTTAGAAATGTTTAATATTTGCTTTCCATCCGTCTCCCTCCCTTCTTCTCCTTCTCTCCTTGAACTCACTCAGTGTAAAGAAATTTTAAAAATCCTTCAGCCTGTTCCTCAGTACCAAGGCTGGACAGGGGCGTCTCTGTCCCAGAAATATGCTAAGATTAATCCAATTTGCAAGGGCATGTGGGAGCTGTAAATATTTATGGGCAACAGAGAAGAAACTGACCCAAGCACACAAAGTAAAGGAACTGGGCAGAGGAATGGCCAAACACCAGTGACCCCAGATGTCGCTCCCTGGGCGCCAGGTGCAATTAGCCACCAGTGCCTCTCTTTGGGGGTGGGAAGTGGCAGGAAGGTGGGAAGTCTGTCCTGGCATGAGAAGCATTCTCTCTCCCTTTCCTCTACCCCCAGCCCATTTCTAACTAGCAGTCTGCTGGAGGTTTTAGGGACCCATCTAGTAGTCAGAAACTTCCCACCCTCCAGCCTGCCCGTGCCTGGCTTCCATGACTGACTTACACTTGTGCGGAAGGAGGAAACAGATGCTCACCCTCTGCTCCCCCAACCCCCAGCCTCCAAATCTGTTAGAAGATGTCAAGGGGTTCATAGCTTTTTCCACACCTGTACCCAAGCACATGTGAATTGTTTCGAGGTCTAGGGTTTAAGACTGGAAATGTCAAAATCCACAGGAGAGTTTCGACAATATTCTCCGTCTTTATTACAGCGTAGACAGAATAATTTAGAAATGAATACATTGGCTTATGACTAGATGACTTATTACTAGACATTTATTATTTACAGTAGAAAACTTCTACTGAAGGGGCCACGAGCCCCTTCTTGCCCTCTGCCAGGAATGGGGAACTCACTACCACCAAAGGCAACTGTCATGTTGGCCCAGTTTTGTTCATTAGCAATATATCTTGAAATATTTTGAATTGCTTCTTAATGGCGTATACTTACTGATCTTTGCCCTACATCTTAGGGTTTTATAATTTTTTTTTTAATGTTTTATTTACTTTTGAGCAAGCGCAAGCAGGGGAGGGACAGAGAGAGAGGGAGACAGGGGATCCAAAGTAGGCTCTGTGCGGACAGCAGCGAGCCCAGTGTGGGGCTTGAACTCAGGAACCATGAGACCATGACCTGAGCTGAGTTGGGACCCTTAACTGACTGAGCAGCCCAGGTGCCCCTTAGGGTTTTATGTGAGTAATCACACATTGCTACTTTGTAGCGTCCATTTGCTTGTTTTACTTTTTATTTGCTCATGCCTGCCCAGGACCTCAAGTCTTTTTTGGGAATTATTCTCCATTGTGTGCATCTTAGAGGGAGGCAGGGCCCTCCATCCCACCGTGGATGTGGAGGGGACTGCGCATTCCCTCTACTCACCCCCAGACAGCCAACATACAGTCAGATAGCCAATTGGAAGCTCTGAGTAGGATTTTTAATAAGAGAGAGGATGGGAGGGGCAGGCGCGGGCCAGAACCATCGGTGGAAGGAGGCGGGTCCAGCAGCAGTGGCCACAGCGTGCGGTGCTGGTACCAGGTGGCACCCTCGCTAGATGGCTCTGACAGCGTGACCGCGGCTCAGTCCTCTGCTGCCAGCCTCACTTGGCTCCTGAGTGTTTTCCCCACCAGGCTTTCCGGTCTTCTGATGATCCTACAGGTCACCCAGTAACCTTCCAACAAATTCCTTTTTTTGACTAAGACAGCCAGAGGCATTTTCTGTTGTTAGCAACCACCAGCCCTGACTGAGACAGTCTTTCAAATATTTGAGGATATAGTTATCATGCACTCTTTTTAGTTATCATGCACTTTTTTTCCCTTTGAAGCCTCCCTACTTCCTCCAACAGTTTTCTAGATGGCTCTCTTTCCTGTCCCCTCACCACCCTTATTGCTCACCTATTGACATGCCCGGTTGTCTCCACGCACCCCAGGGAGGCAGGACTAGAAGCGCTATTCTCCCTCTTTCTAGATCTAGACAGGATCGTCTATTAATGTTAATGCTACCTCGGATCCTAGCCACATTACACTGTTCACCTGTGCTGAGTCAGATAAAATCCCCAATTCTTTTTCTACATGTTATAGTTAGCCATATCTCCCTCATTTCATAGTTGCGTGTGTATGGTGGGGGGAGGATTAATTCGCAAGTCCTGGTCATTCACAGGGTCAGAATTGCTCCGCTCGGGGGATTTCAAATTCCCCAATAGTTAGGTCCCTGCCCCTTTTCTCCTATGAATGAGTCCTCCTTCATACCCCATTTCCCCAGTGAGTTTCTGGCTGTCCCCATTTCCAAATCCACCCTCTTCCCAGGGGACTGGGGAGCGTGCCCTGAACGTCACATTCTCCAACACTGAGTCGTCAGGTTGTGCAGCTGAGCATCCCCCATGAAAACCACCTGTTAGCGAGGCCACCGCGCAGTCACTTGCTCAGCCCCTGTTTCACACGCACACACGCTGGGTGTCAGGCCAGGGACGTAATTGGGTGGCTTTAGGCATGACACCCGTTCTTTTCCTCTCAAACTGGTCTTCCAGTTCATCTTGAACTTTAGGTTTACGTCTCAAATAACCGAAACGTGTGTCAGCGCCTTTTCTTAATTGGTCTTGGGCATGGGGGAATAAGGAATAAAAAGGAGGAGATTACACTTGTTGGGTGCTTATCATATACCCAGCGTGGTGCTAGATACCTTACAAGCTTTGTCTAATTTGTCTTACGCACCAGCTCTCTGTGATAGACGTGATTGTCACAATTTTACGGACCAGGCAACTGTGTCTCAGGAGAGATAAACAACACCCATCAAGTGGCAAGTCTAGAATTCAAATACAGGTTTATTTCCCTCCAAACTCTCCTGGCCCAGTGCTGCCGTGGCCCATGGAGCTGAAGCGTGGGAGGGAGAGATTAGAGCACGGAGCCCACTGAAGCCCACAGTCCCCTTCTGAATTCACTTCACCACGTCCATAGGGTATGGGGCTCCAGGAGGACACATAGTCTGCGGGGGCCATTTCTCCCGAGAAACAGCCTGGCAGCCTCGTCAATCCCTTGTATAAAAAATGGAGTCAACACGTTCAGACGGTCATATACCCTGGAGGGTCCTAATCCTCAACCTACCTCTTAACTCTAAAGGTTATTTCACCAAGAGCATCCCACCAGTCCATCATGCTGCCCAGAGCTCTGAGAGAGGACCCACGATCCCCCTGGGGACCAAAAATGCTAAAATAGGAACAGGCCTAATCCTCCTCTTGGCCTCACCGTGACTTAAGCTGAAAGGAGTGGGGAGACCTGGGACCTGGTTGGTCAAGGCTTTCCATCCCCCTCAGACTTCCCTTCAAAAGGGCAAAGCCACTCACAGGCACCCACACTCTGAAAACTCAATTTTGGTAAGTGGCCTGAATCATTACCGCAACCAAACCTTTTCTATGAAGTGTTTACAAATAGAAAAATTGTCCGGTTCTAATTCTGTTTGATTGATTCTGCCAAAGGAGAAGGGAAGAATGAAAGTCTGGGTAATCCACAAACTAGAAAATTGGTGTCTGATGAGAGCCGACGGTATCTTCTTGGAGGCCATACAAGGCCAACAGCACTGGCCTACTTTTGTTTTGAAACCTCCCATCCCGGAGCCACAATTGCTACCACTTTGGTGGCAGAAGGAAGATGTTTATCCTTCACAAAGACAGCAAGCTTTCCAGCCCCTTCTGTAATCTCCCAGGCCACGAAGGGGCCAGCCACATGGTGTCGGCAGATGCAGAGAGGGGCTGGCGATTCTCATACCAGGAATTCCTCCGCTGTCCTTCCAGCATCAATTACAGATCGCCTCCCTTCCTTCCAGCGGCAGAGAACCTGAGGCTTCGCTCCTGACTCCCAGCTTCCCACCCAGGCCTGGCAGCAATTTGTAACCCCCGCTTACACAGGCTCTCTTACTGTCTGCATTTTTGTTTGGAAAATGAGCAATTTGCTGTCGGTCGCTTGGCTCCTCTGTGAAGTCGGCAGAAAGGACGGCTCACCGAGGGGGACAGATGGTCAGTGAAAGCAAGAGTCAGACCGTCAAGCTCATCGCCCAAGCCTTGCCCCCGCCTGGATCCCGTAAGTAGTTTTGTTACACAGGGTTGCTCTCCAGAAGCCGAGCGCCAGCTCTCCGTGTGTGGTATTTGCAGCGACAGAGAAACCAACCCAGAAGGAAGTGTTTTTTGTTGTCGTTGTTTTTTTGTTTTGTTTTGTTTTGTTTTTTTTGGCGAGATGTCTGGGAGGTCTGGGCAAATGCAGCGCCCTTCCGGCCAGCCACTTTCTTCTGAAAGACTGTCTTCTTCTTTGGAGGGATGAGACCTGGGAGTGAGGGAAAAAGGTGGCAAAAATTTGTCCTAGCTCACACTCCAGGGATGAAACAAACCAACGCACTTGTCAAGTGATAAAGACACGGTGAGGAAATCAAAAACCACAGCCGAAGCTTATTGCCTCAACGGCTGCGACATTATCTCACCACTCATTTGGAACATATGTTCAACAGCAGGGTGAGGATTTGGGGTCTCAACTGTGCTCTGAACGCAGAGGGGAAGAGGAGAGAAACATTGCGTGGGAGAGGCCCCTGTGACAAATCCTGCAGAAATGCTGAGACCCGCCTTCCCCTCCCTTCTTCCTCCCGGTGCCCTCACCACCATCCCTACCAGATGCGAACTGTTTTGTCCTCGGGACCCACAGTCGACACATGGGGCACTTCCAGCTACCTGTGTTCCACGTTTGCAGAGAGGACGTAGTCTCCTCTCTGCCCCCCTCCCCCCACCTACCCCCGTCAGGGAGAAAAGGTGCAGACTCACACTCTTATCAAGCATTCAAACGATTTCATGGGAACACCACACTTTGTTCTATTCTGGCTTCCCTCACAAGGGGTGGGGGGCGGCACATCTTCAAACGCCCGCTGGCTTAAATGGTGACAGCTGCATGCAACGGGCTTGCTCACAGCCCGCCTGGTGCAATGAGAGATATAACTGGAGGGTAGGACTTCAAAGGCAGACCCACTGTGGCCATTCCAGCAGCCCGGGGGGCTGCCGCCTCCAGTTGGTGGCTCTCCGCATGCAACAAGTGAGCCAAGGGAAACTAAGAAATTAGACCTTTCCCACGTGCACTGTGAGTTATGATGCAAGGAGGCAAGAATGAGGCAGGAGAGGTGTCGAGGGCTTTCTGCAAAGTCCTAAACACATTTGTCCTAGACAGATGTTTTTGTCCTAGGTAGACAGATAGTGGAGAAGACAGGCTCATCATAGATAGCATGTTAGTCTGGCCAACACTCTTCCTTTTATAATAGATTATGCATCACATTTTAGAAGACAGAATTGAGCTAAAATGTTTGTGTGTGTGTGTGTGTGTGTGTGTGTGTATCCCTTTCTTTGATGTCACCTAAATTACCCACCTTTGCAGAAATCACTTATTAAAAGTTGGTTTTATGTTAAAATGTCTGGTGGCCGTTGATCTTTGACTTAGGAGCCGTTACGGGAGAACTGTCACACAGAAGATTCCAGAGGTGACTTGAAATCTTCGGTTCCTTGCAATGGGTAGCACAGATGGCTGTTTAAGGAACCACATGAAAGAGCCACCGTGAAAGGTAGTCATTTCCTGTCTTCTCCATCTGGCAGGTCCTAACGAAATACACCCCAAGGAACAGACTCACTATGACATTATACGGATATATGTGGCTATTGATGCTTTGGCAAGGCTATTTATTTTGGTAAATTGCCTCCCTTGGCCCCACCACCCAGCTTAGCCCCATTACTCCTTTGTGCGTGTCAAAATCCTGACAGAACGTGGGCAAGTTTACATAAGCTCTCTGAGCCTCGATTTTCTCATCTGTGAAATGGGAATGAAAATACTTTATGATACATGCGATACATTTGCTTTGCTTCAGTGAGGTTGAGTTGGTTCTGCAACTTAAAAGGAGCCTGACGATGAATAAATTATGATGTCTTCACAGGATGGTATGCACAGAATTCAAATGTGGGAATACGATACAACCGAAAATGTCTTAAGACACCAGGAAAATATTACGCTGTGATTGTTAAGTGGAAGGAGCAAAGTTTCAGAAGAATAAATGATGTAAAATTTATGTAAAATTATTAACATAATGTATGTTTTCTAACATAATGTATGTATGTTTTTATGTATGTTTACATAAAATGTATGTAAAATTATTAACATAATGTATCACACGGTCAGTACTTAAAGTATGTAAGTCATTATCACTCTTACCTCTCCTTGGAGCCCAGATCCAAAACCATTCCCCTTATCTGATTGTCCAGACAGAGATGATCCCTCCTTACAGCTCCGTATAGCCAGCCCGACTTTAGCATGTACGACTATATACCTTGGGTTATTTTCATTTATGGTATGTTTTAAATGTCACCTGATAATAAATATTCCTCCTTCTCGTTTTGCTTCAGTTAGGTTGAGTCGACCCTGCAACTTGAAAGCGAATCTAAATAATAAATTATGGCATAGGGGCGCCTGCATGGCTCAGTGGGTTAAGTGTCCGACTTTGGCTCAGGTCATGATCTCGCAGTTTGTGAGTTCAAGCCCTCCATCGGGCTCCCTGCTGTCAGCATGCCTGGAGCCTGCTTTGGACCCTCTGTCTCTGTCTCTCTCTCTCTCTATCCCTCCCCAACTCTCTCTCTCTCTCAAAAATAAACATTAATAAATTATGGTATATTCTTATGATGGAACATAATATAACCAAGAATGTCTTAAGACATGGGGAAAATGTTAATTTGTAACTAAGTGAAAAAAGTGACATGAAAACTGTTAAAGCAATAAAAGAGACAGCCCCCCCCCAAAAACAAGTGTGTACCCCCCCACACACACACGCATATACACACACACATAGAGAAAGCACTACTAGGAAATATACCAAATAATAACAGTGAAGGTTATTGGGGCATAAGTCTGTACCTGATATTTTATTGCTTCTCTTCATTTTTAAAAAAATTGTCCCCTTTTTACTAATTAAGAAAACAAAAATTAGTATGCTCTTTTTTAAAGGGCAGATTGTGGGGCGCCTGGGTGGCGCAGTCGGTTAAGCGTCCGGCTTCAGCCAGGTCACGATCTCGTGGTCCGTGGGTTTGAGCCCCGCGTCAGGCTCTGGGCTGATGGCTCAGAGCCTGGAGCCTGTTTCCGATTCTGTGTCTCCCTCTCTCTCTGCCCCTCCCCCGTTCATGCTCTGTCTCTCTCTGTCCCAAAAATAAATAAACGTTGAAAAAAAAAATTAAAGGGCAGATTGTGAGGTATGAATAGGGGTAAAAAATAAAAATCAAGGGGTGAAGGAGAATTTCATGACTTTCCAACTACTTTTACTCACCCAGCAGACATTTTTAGAACGACTAAATAAAAACGAGGCTGTGATAAATACTACAGGAGAAAACAGATATAAACCAGGTCCTGCCCTCAGGAGACTTAATATTTACTTGGGGAGATGAGAGTAGTGGTACAGGGGAGCGGCAGAGGGGGAGAGGAGGGGACTGATTTCCACAGCCAGAGCTGCCTGTGGTGCTCTGGCGTGGCCACCATGCTGGGGAATGGGTTCACAAAGAGGCGGGCCTGAGTGTTCCTTAAAGGCAAGATGGCTTCCTGGCCATGCTGATTCTCATGTGATTTTGGAAGTCAGGGATGGAAGGATTAAATTAAATCCATTCAATCCAACATTTTTATTTAAATCATTGATTTCCAATGTTTTCCCCACCCACTCTTTGTCCAGAGTTGCCAGCAAGTAGCAAAATAGCTTGAGTGTGAATTCCAACAACTTTTGGTTGCCCAACAGTAAAATGTCAAAAAGGCAAGTAGCAGAAGGCAAAAGGACGTAGGTCTGAACATCCTCAACCGGATTTTTCCCCTCACAGACCATTAAGGGTTACAAAATTTGATTTTTTTTTTAATGCTAAAATATTTTCAATTCTGGGTAAATTTTATGGAAATTAAGCTTTTCCTGTATTGTTTCTAACTAGGAAATTTATCTGATTTTCTCAAAGCTAATATAAGTAATTTAATCCTCTACTTTGTTCTAACCAAAAATTCCTATAGTCTCAGCAAAGCATCTTAGTGGAATTTAGTGTCAAGATATTCAAATTTACCTCATTTACAATGCAAAAAAAACACACCAATTTGACCCAGATGGAAATTTTATTTGTGTCCAAAATTTCTAGATTCTCCATTCTACTAATTAATGGAAAAGTTGATAATCTCAAACCATGGCAAATCCAAATAGTTGCTTATTCCTTTGTAACACATTAGGAACGGTGACAAGAAAGAGGAGTGGTATCCTTTTTTCCTTTTTTTTTTTTTAAGTTTTATTTATTTTTGAGAGAGAGAGAGAGAGCTAGCATGAGAGGGGGAGGGGCAGAAAGAGAGGAGGACAGAGGATCCAAAGTGGGCTCAGTGCTGACAGCAGTGAGCCTGATGTGGAGCTCGAACTCACAAACCATGAGATCATGACCTGAGCCAAAGTCAGACACCTAACCCACTGGGCCACCCAGCACCCTGAGGAGTGGTATCCTAACGATCCTTTAAAAAAGAAATCATATCAATGCTATCAGAGGTGGTCACATAGAAGCAGAGCAAGAATGTCAGTTGGTTGGAAACCCTAACTAACACAACCTACTGTCTCAACTTAATCAAAGGTGGCATTTAGGCCACAGATTCACTTTCAAGATAGTAAGAGGCTACTTTGGTCAAGGCCAGAACTTTTTCATACTTCCCACTAACTCTCAAAACAGAGATTTGGGCTCTCATATGCTTTGAGAAGGTTCTCCACATCAAAAAGTTTACTACGGAAATACATATTTCTGGGTTCTGGAGAAAAACCAAAATATCAAACATAAATGAAGACATTGATGCCACCATTAGCCACATTTTGACCAGGGTTTGATATGTAATATTTGAAGGCAAGCACTCTTGATTAATTCTCATCTTCGTGTATAGTCAGGGTCAACAATGACATTCCAGTGCTGAATTCATCCCAGCCCACAGTGCCAAATGGCCTCCAAACTGATCCAGTCTGTGGAGGCCAATACCCATAGCGACTGAATCCTGGTGGCAGTTCGGGACTAGTCCAGCCCTTCCCCCACCTCTGGGGCTTCCCCCAAATTTCTGTTTCAAAGACAAGGCCAGAGGCTGCCTAACACTTAGCCAGAATCTTGGGCAGATGCTGGAGGTACCCCAGCCCAAGAAGGCATAGATTTACACGGCTTAATCTTATCACCCCTTGATTTACAGAACTGAAACTAGAGCCTTCAAGGCAGCTTTCCGAAAACACTTTCTCAAGTCATTAAAAATATGCATAATATTATCAGTTGCCATTTATAGCTTCTGTATTTCTAGTAACTGGCATTGTTGCTACTCGAGGCAAGCCAGAAAATAAGCGTGCCAGGAACTGACATGGTGTGTTATGTCACCAAAACAAAAGAGCTCATACTGATAAATGTCAGGTTGGCTTCTTTGTGGGTTTCCCCTTCCTTCTGCAAGGTGTAGCTTTTGTCTTCTTTTCCACTCTCAATATGGGGTGAGGCATTGAGCAATACAAGAATCTGGAGTCTCTTTCAGAGATCTCTGCATGCTAAAGGTAGTAGGTGTATCACAACGTAAGCAGATCCAAGAACTCTACCCATTCTTTCCTTTGTCTTAGATGGAGTAATCTAGTGAGGCTTTTAAACAACTGATATTCCTGGGAATTGTGCTCATCTGGTATATTCATCATGTGGAGAGGAAAAGACATGATCTTTTCTTGCCATTAAAGCCCTGGGTGGTCAGGGCCTCCTGAAGGAGGGGGAGACAGGAGAGACTTTCTCAAGTAGCAATGAACCAACAGAAATAGATGTTAGGAGGGCACATGAAAGCGGACAGAGGACGGTGATAAAACTCGGAAAGATGAGGTTGCGGGAAGCCTCCCACCTACCATTCTCTCCCTCTTGGCATCCATCTCTTTCACTGGCTGATTCAGTGCCATGACATACAAAATAGGAAAAGACAGGGGCGCCTGGGTGGCGCAGTCGGTTAAGCGTCCGACTTCAGCCAGGTCACGATCTCGCGGTCCGGGAGTTCGAGCCCCGCGTCGGGCTCTGGGCTGATGGCTCAGAGCCTGGAGCCTGTTTCCGATTCTGTGTCTCCCTCTCTCTCTGCCCCTCCCCCGTTCATGCTCTGTCTCTCTCTGTCCCAAAAATAAATAAATGTTGAAAAAAAAAATTTAAAAAAAATAAAAAAATAAAAAACAAAATAGGAAAAGACATTCTCTGCTGGGGCCATTTTCCCTGGTTTTCATCTTTCCTAAACCCAATACGCATTGCTGTTTTTGTAAAAGAGGAGCTTTTAATATTCTTGTTTGTACTGATTTCTGCTCTGGGTAGACGTCCACATGCTTCTTGAAGTGTGCACATATATCAGACAGAGGCATCTACCCACAGTGATAAACACTGCTGGACGTTTACCCCGAATCTCTTTCCTTTTCTTTTCGGATACACAGCCAGAAACACTTTGGAGGAAAGCCACTCGCTGACCAGGAACACTGGCCTTGGACCCTTACATGAGTGTGAAGTTAACTCCTATTGTGTGAAACCATAATACATATTTGGGTCTACTTTCGACAACACTTTAACCTAACTTAACAAACACAGCCTCAGTCACACTTTATATAAACACACACACACACACACACACACACACACACACACACACACCCATCATATAAGCACAGTTATCTTCAAAGATCTTTTGAAAGTTAGAAAAGCATTCAGTGCCCTAAGAATATATTACATCTAAAGACTATTTTCCAGTTGTCAAAGCACTTTGCCATATAGCTCTCATATAATCTTTCTGGCAATTTTGCAAGGCAGGTATTACGGTTTACAGGTGAGAAAATTTGGCCAAAATGGTGAAGTGGCTCTTACAAAGTCACATGGCCAGTAAGAGAAAGAGTTTTATGTAGGGCCTAGATCCAGATCTCTCTCTCTCTAAAGCTCTTTCCCTCTGCTTACCGGTGAACATCTACGTATCTTCCCAAAGCTCAGCTCAAGCCTCACCTCCTACAGACCTTCCTGGTCATCTCCAGCCCAGTTAGCACTGACTGTTCTTTTGTGACCCACATAGTCCTATACATACATACTCTAAGGTACTTTCCACATTTTATTCTACTTATTTATTCATGTGGATTCAGGGTCCTGAGTGAAGGAAGCAGCTTCTATTACTTCTTAGACCTACCACGATACGTGACTCTAAGTCCGACTGTCAGTATAGTACAATGGTGACTAATATGACTCCAAAAGTATGAGAACAATTTGAAAGGAGGCTTATAATGGTGCAAAAGCAATGTTTCCTTTGATAGAATTTAAGCATGATTAACAAGCCAAACAAAATTTTAGAAGTTACATATGAATCAACTAGGCCTTCCTAATTCTGAAAGCTAGCTGGAACACAGATGATTCCCGTTTAGGCCACAATTGTTTTCATCTGCTTAGACTAAGTCAGTTTTGACAATGGGAGTCATATTAAGTGGTCCTAAATAATTCCAAAATGCAACCCTGTAAGTGAGCCCTGACATGAATATGCACACAAACACATCTAACCACGTATTAATGGGAAAAAAATATATATATACTATGGTCTCTCCATTTTCAAAAATCTCACTCTTTAAATATGTATATCTCTGCCAAAAGAGTCAAATGAAGATACCTGAAATTGAATGAGTCACATGGCCCCACAACCTGCACAAATTCGGAGCAATGATATCAACCTAGTGTCCACCTGATGGTAAACAACGCACTTTGTGGGTAGAGACTCGTTTCATCTCCATGAGCCATGTAAACAGTCAGGCTTAAATCTTGTAGGCTTAAATCCTGGCAGCAAAATGATCAGAAACGACTCCCACCTCTTTCTATCAGAGATTTAAGCCTTTGAAGTAATGCTCCAGCTTCAAGAAGGGAGCTGAAGGTAGAAGGGTACTTGTCTGCTGGAACTACATGGGAAATTCTCAAAGACCCACCATTTGTCATTCCCAGGAATAACACTGGGAAGCGTGAACAGAACTCCTGCCAATGTTAGTTTTCTAGAACATGCCTTGGGCATAGTTAGTGATAAAGAAAGGGGGAAAATCAACTGGTGAGCATTCCTGGATGAAAGACAAGATTCAAATAAGCTGTTTACCCTTTGGTTCCAGCGTTCCCAAACATCATAAAGATTTCAGCTCTTGTAAAAGGGGAGCCATTTGTTTACAATAGACTATTCTTGGGGGGGGGGGGAGTAGGTGTGTCTCATGAGGCAAATATTTGACCATAGGAGGTAATAAAATTGTATTAAGCTCTCACCCCACTGCTGTACGTGGTCATCAATGTGATTAGCTCATTCGAGTCTATTTTAAGATCCTGTCAGGCACAAACATTAACAAGAACCTGGCATTTCTCCTTAAGAATATATAATCGACCTTTCAAGTCCATAATCTCCTTTATCAAAGCGGATGGCAGGGATTTATGCAGAAGAGTTTGCACACCTCTTTGATTTCAGCCCCCTGAGAACCCAAACATGCATCCCACCCAATCCTGTTTTATTTTCGCCATATCCTGTGTTGTTGAATGGGCCTCTTGTACAAATGCAGTGCGACCCCCCCCCCTCCAGTTTTTTTTTTCCCTTAAGTTCTACACAAATCTTACATCAGCTTCGTGAAATGTGCAGTTCTTTTACATTCCTCGGGCAGACTTTAAAGGTCATAGTTCTTAGAGTTGGGGAAATCCGTTTGCATAGACAAGAACCCACACAGGGAAAGCACGAAAGCAGTGGCGGGACAGTTAAGCAAGCTGTGCTGGCAAACCCACGTTCCAGAAAATGATGGCGGGAGGTGAGTGAGAGTCTACAGATCTGGAGTTTCCTTAATCAATCACTCTACTTGTGTTCCCTCTTTTAACTAAACCTTCTGGCAAAACAAACGCACTGGCCAACAGTAGTACTCTTTCTTCCGAAAGGCAACAGTGAAATGGAACCAGAGGACTGCTGGCTACTCGGAGGGAGGAAGCAAGAGGACAGTGGAAGCGCTGGAAAATGCAAGCAGACCACGGCCCTCCTGCCCCCATCAGAGCTAATCCAGCCATTAAAACTCCTCTTAGCATTTTCACTTCTGTGCTTTTACTGTTGAGCTCAACCCCTCTCATCTCATACTAATTCCAAACACCAGCATGTGAAATTGTTTTCTCTTTTCACATTCACAGAACAATGTTTCTCATAAACATCCACGTTTTAACTCTAAATTATCCTTCAAGTCAGTTCAGGTGCTAACAAGAATCCAAACCACTCTTTGCATGGGGCCAACTGATGTGCACAATCCAAAGAAAGACACCAAAGAAGCACTCCGGCTCTGTTGCTATAAAACGAATAAATAGTGCAATGAACACCAGAATGCATTCCAGAGAAAGCCTGCGCTCAGAGGTTAGATGCATGACTCAAAGCAGCAGGCTCCCAATATCAAGAGTCGTCGGAAGATTGGGGTGTTAGGCTAGGAAAGGGATTACATGTCATAAGAAAAAGGAAATTATGTTGATAATGATTCCTGGAGTCACTGCCAGCAACTTCAGCCAACTTGCCTGCAGCTTCATCAAAATGTGCCAAATGTAGTCCAACGCTGTCAGGATTAAGAACATTCTTCACGCAGATCAAAGGAAGACCCTCAGAATGATTTTTTTTTATTACTCAATACAAATATTGTCCCCTAAATAGGAGATCTCCAGGCTGCTAGGCTTGACACATATTAGAACAACATCCCAGGTTACTGTTTTAATGTGAACCTGGGGCTAATCCTTAATATCACCTGAGACTTTGGTTCACTCATTCATTGACTCTATTTGTTGGGCACCTACAGTGTGCAAATGCATTCTGCTATTTCTGTGCAGGAGCCAAAGCTGGGACACACGATGGCATCGTGTTTAAAAATACAGACTCTGATGGAATTCGAATCTCCGGCTGGTCACTTACTAGATGTGCTACTTACCCTCTCCAGGCCACACCTACCTACTTCAGGGGATGGTTGTAAAGATGAAAAGATAATGCTGATGCACATAAGACACTTGGCAGAGCCCCTGGCACACAGAAGTGCCCAGTCCCTTTTAGCCAGCATTTAAAACCAAGACTTCTGGAGTATGGGCAGGTCTCTAAAGAAGAAGAAAGTTAGATAAGGTGTCCATCCAAGATCCTTAACACTCAGCACCTATTCGCTCTTCATACACACACAATCCTCATAGGACTCTCAGACCTTCTTGACGTAAATATTTGCAATTAAGTTTATTTACACATTTGTGCTCAGAATGTGTTTTACTTAAACAATCTGGGAAAGGAGCGAGCAGGGTGGGGGGTTATGTGAGGCCCGCTCTGGACTGGCATTTGAGCCCCAACAAATACCATATTGTCCGTGCGGAAAAGAAACGGCTACTGGCATCTCCAGGAGAGTGTTTACTTGCCTGTAAATTAGGCCATTGTCCATCTGAGGAGAGAGTCAATCAGCTTTCAAGGGGGAAACAGAGGATAGGAAAATAGTTCTCTGTTACAGCCGAGAGGGTTCTTCCGCGCTCCCGGTGTGGTGTCCTAAGACAAATAGGAGCCCGTGGCTCTGTCCAGTAACCGATTTTCTCGACAAAGCCCTGGGCTCCCGCGCTGTGTCCTCGAGGAGCTACCTGCAAAACCTTCTCCTGAAGTGACGGACTTGTCTTTTGCAACCAGTTAGCACCTGCTCTTAAAACTTGATCCCTCCCTGGTTTGTTTCAAGTGGAGCCAGGGGATCAGGACTTAATTAGCAGTGCTATATCTCGTACTGATCGGTTCCATCCAGCTTCCCCCCGGGGGCCCCAGATTTGTCTCTATTTGGAATTCCCGTGCTCGCTGGGCGGCTTGTGTTAGCAGTTATCTGGCAGGCGCGTCCCAGTGCGGCGGGGCTGTGGGAGGCAAGTCCCGGCCGGCGGCCGCCACTCAGCCTGGAGCCCTCCGCCCGGAGCCCCGCCCCTCCCCGGCTTCCACCCGCCCCGGGCCAGGCCCCCCGCCGCGAGACGGCGACCCGAGCCCAGCCACCGTCTTCCGCTGGAGGAAGGGCCAAGGAGTTTGTGCGTTTGCGAATGGCCCTTGGGCTGCTGCTGAAGAAGGGTGTTTTTTGGTGGGTTTCTTTTTTTTTCCATAAGGAGAAAACGCCTCTTGCTCTGTACCAGCTTGAAGCCAAATAACATGTTTTGGCAACCATTATTTGGCAATTAGGGCTTCAGCTCACTGAAAGCATTCTTCCGTGCAAAATATGGCTTGGAAAGAAAACACTAAACCACATCTGAGTGAAAATATAGGAAGTGAACAAAGGGGTGACAGAGCAGTGAGAGTCAGGGATGGTGAGAGGCAAGGAGGTTGGGGGCCGGGCACACTTGGCAGAGGCCAGGCAATGACTGGGCGCCTGGATGTTTCCACAGCGCTAGCTCCCACTCTGGCCCGGTCCAGGAAAGGCCAGGGCCAAGCATGTGGGATCCCGTATCTTCGCGGTGGGCTTGCACTTCTTTGGCCCTCAAAGGAGCCCTGGAGCAGGATTTAGGCAAAGGTAGAGTAGAGCAGTGGAGCTGGGCGTGCGGCCATGTTGTCTGCTGGGCTCACATGGGCCTCTTCACCTCCGCCTCCTAAAAGGTGTGCATCCGAGCCTACAAGGTGTGGGCACTTCCAGAATTGAAGCATCCTCCAGGGATGATAGCTCTTTTCTCCCCTTGAGCCTGGCATCCCCCCACTTGAGAGAAGGACATGGCCAGAAAAGGAGGACTCCTCTTCCCACCTTTCCAGGACACCCACATCCTTTGATAAAAAGAGAGAGAGCAATTAAACAGAATACACTCCTTAATGGTGCAATTTGACAGAAATAAAGGGAGGTTGTAACATATGGCACATTGTTTCAGATCAACGCACAGCTGTTTTCTCTGTTAATTGAGATGTCACAAACATACCGTTCTTTCTTCTCTTCCTCTGCCTAACCCCCCAATTTTTCTGGTGGAGAAGTTTAGACAGGGTAAGATCTTGGATGGGGGGGAAACTGTGCCCAGCCAACCCTCCCCCGTGAAAGCACAGGCTCCAGAGTGTGTTAAACAAACCCTATACTCAGGAGCAGCAGCAGCAGAGGGTGACAGAGTGAGGGCCAGTATGTCTGGTCTCACCTTCCTTATAACCCCAAAATGCCATCCGAAATTACACCAAAAGAAGTGTAAGTGAATTTCATTGGTGACTCTGACATTACCAAAGAGGTTATTATGTATTACCCTATGAGTGTGCAAATATCCTATGAGCACTGTTTGGCTTAATTTTACCAGTGTAAATGACTTTTCCCTCACTCCTGGTTAATTTTCTGGTAAGTTTCCTAAGAACACTCAATGTTAGTGTAGGAATTTGTTAATCCTGGGTTTTTATGCATAGCCATTGGATGAGCCATTTTAAGTTTAATCAGAAAGATTTGTCCATTTCTACATGACCGGTTTCTGTACATTCACTTGATAAATATGATTTACTCATTACAATGGCATTTCTGAATTCACCTTTCATTATATATAGTGTTGGCGTTTTCTTTTTTTTTTTTTAATTTTTTTAACGTTTTATTTATTTTTGGGACAGAGAGAGACAGAGCATGAACGGGGGAGGGGCAGAGAGAGAGGGAGACACAGAATAGGAAACAGGCTCCAGGCTCCGAGCCATCAGCCCAGAGCCCGAGCCCGACGCGGGGCTCGAACTCACGGACCGCGAGATCGTGACCTGAGCTGAAGTCGGACGCTTAACCGACTGAGCCACCTAGGCGCCCCAATGTGTTGGCGTTTTCAAATCAAGGTATTAGTTATTTTGGTTAGCATATCAAATTTAAAGTTTCTAATGGTCATAGACTAAGATTTGAAAAAAATTTTTTAATTTTTATTTATTTATTTTTGAGAGAGAGAGAGCACTAGCAAGGAAAGGGCAGAGAGAGAGAGAGAGAGAGAGAGAGAGAGAGAGAGAGGAAGGCACAGACTCTGAAGCAGGCTCCAGGCTCTGAGCTATCAGCACGGAGCCCAATGCAGAGCTCAAACCACAAACCGTAAGATCAGGACCTGAGCTGAAGTTGGATGCTTAACCAACTAAGCCACCCAGGCACCCCAGATGGACTAAGATATTTAAATAAAATATGAATAAGAGCCTGTGAACTATCTTACAAATCTCATCTGATTTATAATTTTGCACAGACAATATCCTCACCTGTGTTTAAGTGTATGAAATCAGAATATTATCAGCATTTTATCATTTGTGTATTATCCTTTCAAGTTACTTAAATACAGGGTGGCAAGGTGAACCAGAGCATGCAGTCTTGGAAGAAAAATCTAGTCAGTTCAGCACTGGCGTTGCCAACTCTCTGTCCCTCTTTCTGTGGGCCCCCTTTGCTCTGTCTCAATGCCCATAACGTGGAAAAGTTAGAGACACTTGATGGTGTGCCTGCACATTTTGGCTTGCCTTTCTGTTGAAACTTTTAGAAGGAGTTCTGCCTGCAACTGAGTAGGGATCCTGAACAAAGTAAAATACGTAACATTTTCCCTCTGGGCACTTAGGAGGAAAAATATTTATCTCCAGTATTGAAATCTCAAGGTTCTAAAAGGGTTAGTGTCTTTTAAAGGCACCTATCAGGACTCTATCCCTTTTTAAGCCAGAGACCTGCACTCGCATGGGTGTATTCTCACATAGGTGCAGCTCGCTCTTGTATCTATTGCCAGGAGTAATAGGAAAAACATATGACAGATCTAGGAATTTACTACCTGTGTGTTTTCATATAAATCTTTCTTGCCTTTAGAGATGGTAGCTATAATATCATGGTAGAATGCTGCTCTACCCCAGCAGAAATAGAAGTTGTGTCCTTTTTGGCCAATATTTGAAAGGATCACAGGAGTCAAATAGACAGTCTAGATTCCTTTCAGAATGATTTTTGAAAATTCATCACTCTTTGGAATGTCAAGAGCCATATAAACCCATATTGCATAGTGTAGGAGCTAAATAAATAATTGTTAAATGAATAGATGAGTTTTAGAGTCTGACAGACCTCACATACACAGCTTCCAACCAAAACTTTTGAGGTACTAGCTTTTTGTAGGAACA